CTGGCTCTGCTGGGGGGGTAGGGAAAAATCAGTGACAACTTGGGGAAGCCGGGGGCAGAGTAGCTGGGGTGCTGCTGGATTGGTCCCACAGCACCGCCCTCTCCCACGCTGCGCAGTTCCCCGCTGACCTCCACCCCACACCGCCATAGCCCCTCTTCTGGCACTCTGGCATATCTGAGAATCCGGCACCTCCTGGGTCCTAAAGATGCCGGATTATCGGAAGTTTACTGTAGTACAAATTAATTTGGACAAGCCAGTAGAGATAATAATTACTGACTGCTTTCTTGCTCATAAAGCTTCTGATACTGATTTTTGGGGAAGTAAGAGGAAATACTGGCAGGCTGAATGAGGGAAAAACGTTCTTACACGATTATGCAAATGAATCCGCACTTCATTTGCATTTTTGATAGGGCTCATTTACATTCCCCTTTCGGAAGAGGAATGTAGTTTAGACATAGCCTTTCTGGGAATAAGCTCCAAGACTGCAGCCATGTGCATACTGCAATATGAGAAGCTGCAGGCCTGACTCAGAAGATCTGTGCAATGCAGTGTGTCTGCATTAGCACTGTTCAGACACTTGAGGTCCACAAACTGTAAGCCCAAGATTACAATACAGTATGCTAAAGCAAGGACTTGAAAACATCAACTCTGCAGTCCCAGGTGCCACTGAACTTGACCACATCCAATGTACCCCAAATAATACTGCTCCTAGTCATCTTATGCAGCCACCAGGGACCACTGCCTTCCCACAATCTCTGGTAGCATCTTGATGTTTTCAACTCTCAGATTTTGAACGACGTGGTATGAAGAGATAGGAAAGGGGGTAATATAAGTAGTATTGCCACCTTTCCTCCATGCCAGAAAAGAACTTTCATATCCAGAGCAAATCCCCAGTTGTTAAGAGCCAATTCTTAAATTCCTTACCTGAAAAAGTATAAAGATGAGGAAGAGCTCATACACAACGCTGACACAGAGCCAAAACCTCCAGTAAGCTATAGAAACAAACAAGATTTTATCAAGGCTTCTGGAATAATATATCAGTTGGCGAAGTTAGTTTATCAGTAGCACAATTAGCACACAGAGCAGGGCTCCTCCCTTCACAAAGAAATACGAATGCCCAGTTGTGAAATAAGGAGCTCCAGCAATAAGCTTCTCAAACAGTGCAAGTGGGAAGTATATTCAGACAGTATTCATAACGGCCCATTAAATCAATCCACTCACAGAACTTGTGGAATTCCCATTTATCTCCCAAACCAATCCATATGTGAGGTAACGCTCATCTACATATTTTCATAACGGTCACAAGAATGTATAATGCAAGTCATTACACTTTTAATGCACATTTAAGAGATACAGCCCCCCCCCCGAAAAAAAACCTCTGGATTTAATCTCTCTTGCATTACTTTCCCTATGAAAGATTTCTCAAGTTCCCTACCACACTTTATGACTCCTAAAAAGCAAACCTGTTTCTTACTGAACCAATCCCTTCTCCTCCACTGTCTGAAGTTACTTGACTCTTCAGCTTACTTTTTACTCAATTCCTAGTACATCTTGGCAAACTTCTTTTTGGACACCTCTGAAATTAGTGTCCCATTGCAGTCCCAATTACTTAAGATCACTAGGCAAGATTGCAGTTTTCATTTTTAGAAGCCTATCTTCTTCTCTGTGAAATGCTACGTTTTCTTAAAGATGAGTATATAGCATTTTTCAAAGTTTACTGTTAAAATGGTATTACAAGCAGGTTAAGAAAAGAAAGCAAAGGGATTAGCATAGGGATGAAATAATGTAGTTGATTAATCGAATAGCAAAAACTTATCGGTTAATGCTATAGACTACACAATTTCCCCTCCTCCCCTGCCAGTAAATTTTTTAGCAGACTAGCCAGCAGCCCAGCTTAGTCCCAGCTTGCACTGGGTCTGGGACCTACCCCTGCTGTGACTCTGCATTTAATGTGTATTAAGAGCCAGGCAGGAAGGCAGCCTGGCTCAGTTCCAGCTTGTGCTGGGTCTGAGAGCTCAGACCCCTTCCCTGGACAGGGGTTGCTGTCACCTCATGCTGCTGCCTTTGCGTCAGAGGTAGCAGCACAAGGCAGCAGGCTGCCAGGCTGCGAAGGGAGCTGGTTTTTAAACTGGCTCCCCTCACAGATCAGCTCCTGCCTGACACCCCACACTGCTGGATTTTATATGCAGAGGTAGCAGCATGGAGTGGAAGGGGGCTCCTCAGAAGTAGGGCTGGAGCGAATTGGCTGCCAGACCAACTCCCAGGGACTAGAGAATAGTCAAGTAACCAATAAGGTTAATCGACTATTCAATTAACCGATATTTAACATCCCTAGTTTAGCAGTAACTACATTACAAGATCTATGGAGACGATGCAAACTATTAAGACGCAGCTGTTTCAGAAGAAAGTTTTAACCCCACACTTTTTTATGAAATACTGTTGTGATGATGTATGATGGAAGATGACCATTTGTATCATTGTTGCTATCACTGGTATACAAAGTATGTCATGCAAGGTGTCAATGGAAAAGTTGCAGGCTGTCAACTATGACTATCCTGAGTAAATCCATTTAACTTCACTGTATCTGAAGATATGAATATTAGTTATGCTTTTGCATGTCAAATGTGGTTTATTCTTAGGGTGACAATGTATTTTCATAGAATTCTAGGACTAGAAGGGACCCTGAGAGGTCCTCGAGTCCAGTCCCCTGCCCTCATTTTATACCGCTCTCGTTAGCTCAATATGAATGAACTATTCAAGATTGACGGGCCATTAAGAAGAAAACTCTCTATATAACTCTTGAAGATGCCTCAGAGAGCAAAGAAGTCAAAGCTGTGATTCAGCAAAACACCGAAGGGCACATGATGCAGAGATGCAAGCCCTGACTATATCTTTGTAAGTAACTATGGGCATTGTTTGGCATAGTGACTTTCCAAGCACATGGCAGAGGATATAAAAGATACCCGTCATCTCCATTTTGCCTCATCTCTGCTCTAATTCCATGGACTAAAAGGAGTATTTTAAACAATAGACCGAAGTTCTTCCAATCTTTGAAAGTTAACAGAGAGACTTTTTACAAGCTAAGAGATTATTCCATCACTGCTACCATTATAAGTACATGATTTTCTAATTGAGAATGCCATTCTTTTATTAATAAATTCCTAGTTAGTTGACTAAGGATTGCCTGACAGCATGATATATGGGGAATATATAAATATATTGACCAGGAGAGAAGTGTCTGATCTTTTGGAATTGGTTAGAACCTCATATATGGTGAACTGGGTTTCAAAGTAACCTCTCACTATGTTAGATCAGTTTGTCTGGATGGGAATGAACTACTGGCATGCCAAATGGAGACTGTGTCTGGTCTCTTGGTAATTAGTGCGGTGTTACAGAAGCTCTTCTGTTACTGGTTTGGTAAATCTAATTATAGAATAAACCACCAGTTTTGGATGTGTGCCTGCCTTTCAGCATGGTTCATTCTAGGTAGCTGGATACAAGTGTTCCTCTCTGTTCTACCCCTTGTGTCCCCTCCATCAACAGGCACCTTCCCACAAGAAGGACATAGAAATGAGGCCTAAGGAGAGTAGGGGCCCCAACTGTTTATTACATGTTTGTACAGCATCTAACATGATGAGGTCCTGGTCTATAACTCAGGCTCCTAGGTTCCACTGCAACACAAATAAATTAATAAAATCAAAACCCTAGTCTTGAATGTCAACTTCCTCTAATGAGCAGAGCCAGACCAGATACCTTGAACCTAAACACTTGGGAGCGTTCAATCTGTAGGTAAACTCTTCCATATGTCAGGAGTTTGGATTAGGGCCTTAGAAAGTTCCATGCTGTGAACGACGATCCAGAGTTTCGGCTCAGTCCACCTCTATGATGAAGCATCCACTACAGGAGGTAAACAAGCTCCAAGTAGTATGTGACCAATTCATCCTAGCAATGTTTGGCTAACCATGTCCACTAATTTACATAATGGGGAGCAATTTAAAGAACTTTTGATTTGGGATTAGATAACACTCAAGTCCAATCATTCCTGGGAGATTTTCTTGAGAGCACTAGCACACTATATAGAACTATAAACACATATTTCCAGGACTACACCTGGATATTTGGCCTGACTGGTTCTGGACAAACAGGACTCTAAGGTTACGTCTAGACAGTAGCATGTACCTCAAAATAAACTATGCAGTTTTCGCAAATTGCGTAGCGTATTTTGAAATTTGGTGCCATCTACACAGCACTAAATTTTGAAAGAAATTGCTATTCTAGCATTGTCTTTAATTCTCATGCAATGAGATTCACAGGAGGCCAGAATAAGAAGCCCATTATTTCACATGTATTTCAAAATAAGAGGCTTCTTGTGTAAGAGAGCACAGAATGCTATTTCAGGATAACAGATGTTATCAAGTGGAAAGAATTAGCTATTGCATGACATTTTCTCAACTTCATAAAAAAACAAGCAGTTTAGTCCTTAGCTCTAGTGAGGATAGGTAAAATATTCTAATATTACAAATCAGACATTAAAACCTCTACATAAAAAGGAAACTGGAGGAACTTTGACACAAGTACACATATTTCGAATCAGTCACTTATCAGTGTTTCACTGTGGACAAAGACTGGATTTTTAGAAGAACACACAGACTTTGCAACCAATACATACAAATATCAAATATTAGTCCTACGAACTTTGTGCACTGTTTTTTAAGACTAACTGAACAAATAAAACCCATTGCAGGGCTAAAAAAGTTGCCTAACAGATTGCTCCTAACACTATTTTAAAAATAGTTTCAGATGTGAGAGGCTGTGATTATTTTCTGCAAAACTGCCAAGTAAAGCTTATCAGGATGGCCTACTTTATATGCTGGGGACAAATAAGGTAGCAGCTCTGACCTGGATAACTGGGAGTTCAGAGCTTTTACTCTAACTTCCAAACAACTCAGACTGAAGGTTAAACATCAATAATTTTATTTTCAAGTGTTATCCAACTAGCATTTGAAGAACAATCATAAGAATTGTCCAAAATTACTCATTGTCCTTTTTCTCATTTACACAACACTACGAAAACAACCATACCAGAGAATCTCCCCTCAAGGAAAAACATTAATATGAAATGACATTTGTGCAGTGCAAGTTGGTTTTCTTCCTGCTTCCTACAGCTAGTTCCCCTTCAACAACTCTTGGTGAACCCTCACTAGTCTGACATTACCTTTAGAAAGGAACAAAGTATCAGATACATATCGAATTTCTGTTTTTGTGCATTAGTAAAGCAAAAATCACTTCCAGGATAGTTTTAGTGAGGGCTACAAGAGTTGGCTCCCTCCAGTGAATACCTTCTAATGCTTACAAGTGAGAAGCGTGAAGGAAGGTGTCTTGCCTCAAGAATCTAGACTATAAATACTACCCAACTCAGTAAACGGTCAATGCTTTGCCAGGAGAGAGAGATTTGGATTTTGCTAAATGGGGAATCTAGGGGAGGGAGCTAATGGAACCAGCAAGATTGCGGTTTTTAAACTATTTGACAGATTTGTGAAGTATTAAAAAGGAATCAATTAGTCTGAGTATTAACAGGACTATTGTTCAAATGATCAAATTCACATAGAAGCTTCCTTAATCACCCCTGTTTCATAGATAATTTTCACCAGAATCAAAACTATAAGCTTCATGATAGACCCTTGAAAGAAGGAGAGCTATCATTTATAAAAAGGTAGAAAACATTTTTAGAGGCTATAGATCTGAAAATTCTAAGCAGCATATGGCCAAGAACATCCCTGCAGTCCTTCAAGGTAACAATATCTTTCATAAACAGAATAAAAAAAATTGCCATGTAGTAGGCTGCCCAAAAAGGGAGATTTTAAACTTAAAAATGTTCAAGTTCACTGCTGTATTTCTCCTTGCAGAAGACAACTTTCAACTTTCTCTCCCCAAGGATTCTTTTTAACCTGCCTACCACTCCCTAGGACAAACAGGATTCCCAGAATGGAAGATTATAATGAAATAAAAGAAAACTGTAACCTAAACTTGAGAGCAATGAGAAATGCTTAATATGCAAGTCTATAGAACTATCTCCATTCTTATAATCTATCATTACCAAAATATAAAAATAGCCAGGAGAAGTTTAATTACTTTCACAGTTCACCAGACTCAACACAGAAGTTTTATTCTGCTGTTTTATAAAGACTCCCTGAATTCTTACAGGATTAATTTGGGAAATTTTGCAGGCAAAGTAGAATAATTTGTCAGATTACTTGTAAGAGCAGTCCTATACCCAAGTACTTTGTTTAAATCTGTGTCAATTAAGGAGCAAAAGTACACTCCATCTGGGTTTTAGGGGACAATTTGATTACCTTCTCTAAACTAGGGACCATGTGAGCCTTTTTGCTAGCAATGTGATATGCAAATAACATGCAATTAGCTGATTTTAAAAAGCACATAGTAAATATGTATGTTGTTTAGAATAATTGTTAATCTCTCTTTTTAAGGGGTTGTTTTCAGACAACAGAAAGAGGGAATGTTTAGGGGAGGAGTGAGCAAGAGGCAGTTAACTGGCCAGTTTTGGCCTGGGGCTACCTAGCCAGCACCCTCACTAAAGAGCAGCAGCAAGCTGCTAATTGCTATGCAGTCCCAGCAAGGAGCAGAAAGCTTTGCATGCTGTCTCCACCCCCTAGTAAAATCCCTCAGCTCCCATTGGCTAGTTTCCAGCCAATAGGAGATGAGAAATTTTGCTGAAGGCAGGGGCAGTGAATGGAGCCTCTTCACTTTCTCCTCCTCTCCTCACTCCCTCCTTTTCCCTCTGTGTTGAAGCAGTGCCATGTGGAGCAGGCCACCCAGCATACCAGCAGGGAGTCTCAGGTTCCTACAGAGCTGCTGGCTGGAAGCCACCTAGATTGTTATTCCCCCTCAGTCACAGCCTGCCCTCTGGCACCCCACCCCCTCTCCTACAACCACCTGCCCAGGCCACCACCCAAACCCCCTGTATCCTCTTCTTCCCATGTCCTCCAGGTCACAACTCCCTCCTAGACCCTGTAACCCCTCTTATGCCCCTCCCCCAGGCTAGAATCCTGCACACATACCCCTCCCTGACCCTGCACTCCATTCCTGTGCCCCAGATCATAACCCCCTCCTTCACCCAAACTCTCAGACTCCACACTCCTTCCTGCACTTCAGTCCTCTTTACCAAGCTCCCTTCTACACCCCACCTGCCATGCAAGTCCTTGTGCCCTTGACCACTTACTACAATCTTGGAGTGGCCCCACATTAAAAATTATTGCACACCCCTGGTTTAGGGCAAGGATCTCAAATTTCATTTAAGTGTTCAAATAATAAAATAGGTGAAGTAGTCTTGGAAATACCTGCTGGCTATAAATAAAGGAGAGGTCTCGCAGCATGAGGCAGAAGATGTGGGATTAAGATTACTGTGTAGTTGCATCATGTTGATGAATTTACATTGCATACAAAGGAAGCATGCCATGAAATAAAGTTACAAACACAAACACGTACATCATTTAAACTTAGAAGCTATTTATAAAACACTAAAATTATTGCTACAGAGTTAGCATTTTATTAGACACTTCGAAAAAATTAAAGGATTAAATTACCTGGATGAGGTCTTGAAAATGGTCCATCTTTAGCTTGAGTGACACCAAAACATAAGAAAACCAAAATGCTGGCAACAATACCTCTGAAAATAAAGAACAAAACTCAATATGTATTTGCTTCACACCTCGCTCCAATAAAGAAAATCATGACAAAAAGAATCTTGGTTTAAATCCTTAAAAGTCTAGAACTTCTTGTCTCTTTACACTAGCATAATTTCCACAGATCAGTTATGCATCTCACTGGAAATGTATGGTGGGGTGTGGGGTTTTTTTTTTTTTTTTTTTTTGGCGCAGTTTTTGTCAAAGGGGAAGCAGATACAAATCCATACAGTTAGGGTTCCTAACAATGCGTATTTCTATTATAAAAGATTTATGATATTTTCTGAAAAGCTCTTAAAACTTCTATAATTTAGAGAGGTTTTTTTGCCCCATTAAATTTCATGCAAGTTTTGCTGAGAGATAAATGACTGAAAATAATAATTTCCCTTCTCCCTTGTGTTGCTTAGGAATATTTTAGCTAAAATAGCTGAACATGAACATTCGAAGACCATGCCCACACAGCTTCCAATTCAGCAACACACACAATGCACTGGAACTACAGGAAACAGCAGGAGTAGCCACATTGGGGGTTGAAGAAGACAGCCAGGCCACACTTCCTGACTACACCAGAGATCTGGCATTTGGCCCAGGGCCTCAATCCCATTTCAGATACCAACCTTCTGCAACCAGCTCATGTTTAGTTTTATAGCTCAAATGGTAGACAATTGGGTCAATGTGAAAGATTCAGTTTCAAACTGCTGATTATATGATAGATTATTGTAGTTGTAAAGTACAGAATTTGTTTTTACCTTTTAAAAACTAGGGAACTATATGCAGAAAGTAATAAAAGGACATTCTTGAGGTTTATCTGTTTGCACTTTTTATTCTTTAGGTTATAACTGCTTCAAAAGTTAGGAAATGCCAGGTTTTAGGTTGCTTGCGCTTTGAAGAAAAAAAAAATGACGATGATTCTCTTGGGCTATGTCTACACAGCTTCCCTCTTCTGCAAAAGCCTATGTAAATGAAGCGCAGATTAGCATACTGCCATGCTTCATTGCATAATTAAGTAGGCGCCATTTTTGCGCAAGAGCCATTCTTCCTGAAAAAATGAGGGTTGCACACTACAATTAATTAGAGAGGATTAGAGAAGCATAGTCAGAGAGGTTCCACCAAGCTTTTCAAATGGTGAAGAAAGCAATTAGCTATTCTCTAAGAATCTAACTACATTCTCTGAATATTTGATTCACCCCCCCCCCTTTGCATTTGAAATTATGAAACTTGCATGTGAAATTAAGGGTGTACATGCTAGTTTCATAAGCTAAAATGATCACTCTACACTTTTTTTTTTATTTGCACCAAATTTCTTATATTTATCATAATTTGTTTAGGCCTGAGCTAAGAGCTCCAAGGCAGCATCTTAAGTTTCCATCATGTCATATTATCCTGGGTCCATCTCCAAGGGAACCTGAAGTTATTTACATCTTTACTTTAAAAAAAAAAATCCAATTAGCAATATCAGCTGGAGATGAATGAAGCTGATTTCTTTTTAGAATTCCCTTCTAACTTTAATGAGCTGAAAGAAGTTATGCAACACCAGCATTTTCCCCAAAACACTCAGATGGCCGAAGCATTCTTCCCAATGGTCACATTTATTTTCCAGTTGCCACTATACAAGCAGTCCCCAGGTTACGTACAAGATAGGGACTGTAGGTTTGTTCTTAAGTTGAATCTGTATGTAAGTCAGAACTGGCGTCCAGATTCAGCCGCTGCTGAAACT